ACAAAGAAACACCAACTGACCCAGCCGGGACTCGAACCAGAGACCTTCTTGCTGTGAGGCCACACTGATAACCACTGAGCCACCATGACACCCCCTACAATATAAGTTAAATTTTCATGTCTATGCTGAAAAAGTGCATCCAAAAGCAAAGAAGATAAAACACACACACACACACACACACACTCATAAATCATATTCAGATCAGTAAGCTGAAGTGGTGTGGTCTCCATGACAGCCCTCAGTGACGCTGCATCTGCTTGTGTTCTCGCAATGGTCTTGTCACTGTTCCTCTGCCGTCCTGCAGGATTGATCAATGGTGTGTTCATTATGATGAGCTGCAGTGATGATGAAGATGATGATGATGATGATGACGAGGAGCTCCAGAGTCTCCATTATTGTCAAAGTTAACGAGTAAATAATGCACTGCTGCCTTCAGGGGACTCGCTTAATACACACACTGCAATTACACAGCGTGTGCTTCTGATGGAAACTCACTGAGGATTGTGTGTGTGTGTGTGTGTGTGTGTGTGTGTGTGTGTGTGTGTGTGTGTGTGTGTGTGTGTGTGTGTGTGTGTGTGTGTGTGTGTGTGTGTGTGTGTGTGTGTTATGAGGCTTGTGCAGGAGTGTGTATGCGCGCTCTGCTCTTGACCTGGAGGTGAAGTGAAGGACATCTGAGAGCAGGTGCAGTGACGGCAGCAACACACACACATACACATCAAGACAACACTACACACACACACACACACGCACACACACACACACACACACACATACACATACAAACACATCAGGACAAAACTACACTGATGAAGGACACGCTGGGGTGTGTGCGTGTGCGTGTGTGTTTGTGTGGGTGTATGTGCGTGTGTGTCTATGTGTTTGTGCAAGTGAGTTTGTGTGTTTGAGGGAGTCTGTGTGTAAGAGTGTGTATAAGAGAGAGAGTGTGTGTGTTGTGTGTATGTGTGTGCATGAATGTGTGTGTGTGCTCATGTGTGTGTGCATACTGTATGTATGTGCTCATGTTTGCATGTGTCTGTGTTCATGTATGTGTGTTTATAATAAGTCAGTGGCTAGTGTGTGTGCGTGTGTGCGTGTGTGCGTGTGTGCGTGTGTGCGTGTGTGCGTGTGTGTGTGTGTGTGTGTGTGTGTGTGTGTGTGTTTGTGTGTGTATGTGTGAGTGATTTCCCGGGGGTCAGGTAAAGCAGTAATCTAACAGCACACTGGTCTCTGTGATGTTCTACCGGCCTCAGATTTATCAGTCTAATGATGGTGAATCTCTCTCACACACACACGTACACACACACACTTCAGTATCAGCTGCAGATCAGGAGAGAAACTGCCTGCAGATCCACATTCATAAATCAGCAGAGCTCAAACTGATCTCAGAACAGCACACAGGTGTGAGTCTTCTTACGCGTTCAGGGAGTGTAATAGTTATGAAACAACTGGCAACGCACAGACACCTCCATCATGATTGATTTAATTGATTAATTATTAATATATATATATATATATATATATATATATATATATATATATATATATATGTATATACATACTGTAGATATATATTGTAGATATATAGTGTAAATATGTACTGTAGATATATAGTGTAGATAAATAGTTTACATATGTATTGTAGAAATATGGTGTAGATATTTACAGTAGATATATAATTGTTGCTATATAATGTAAATATACACTGTAGATATATAGTGTAGATATAACATTTAGATATATAGTATACATATATACTGTATATATATATTGTAGATATACATTGTATAAATATATAGTGTACATATATTCTATAGATATATATTGTAGATATACAGTGTAGATATATAGTATACATATATACTGTAGATATATATTGTAGATATACAGTGTAGATATATAGCATAAAAATATACTGTAGATATATATGGTAGGTATACAGTGTAGATGTATAGTGTACATATATACCGAAGATATATATTGTAGATATACATTGCACATATATAGTGTAAATATACTGTAGATATATATTGTAGATATACAGCGTAAGTATATAGCGTAAATATATACTGTAGATATATATTGAGATATACAGTGTAGATGATGTATAGTGTAAATATGTACTGTAGATATATAGTGTAGATATATTGTAATTATAGTGTCATATAAATAGCGTAGATATATAGTGTACAGATATACAGTAGCTATACTGTAGATATATACTGTAGATCTGGCACTCTGTGTTTTTCTGCCCTTGAGTGGAGCACGGTGAGGTTTCTTTAATTCTCCAGAGGCTCTCTCTGATTCTGGTCAGTAATATCGATCAGTGAGCCTCACACACACACACACACACACACACACACACACACACACATAAATCTGACGCAAATGAGCGACTAACCTGTGATAAAGCACTGTCCACCATTTGACCCGCCTGAAAACTGCAGCTGACACACTCTCAGAGCAATCAGACACGGCGGACTGATAAAACACACACACACACACACACACACACACACACACACACACACACACACACACACACACACACACACACACACACACAACACACACCTTGGATTAGATAAAATGTCATATTTGTCAAAACTTTGCAAAAATTCCAGTTTACATTTTGTCCAACCACTAGAATTACGGAATGTAGACACACACAGACACCATGCAAACTCCACACAGAAATGCCAACTGGCCCAGCCGGGACTCAAACCAGCGACCTTCTTGCTGTAAGGCAACAGTGCGACCCCACTCTCCCATTAGTATCATGATGTAGACTTGGATCTGCAAACTGAGACTTCACATCTCAGAGATGCAATGTCAGACACAATGGAGCTGGTGACGTCACTATGAGGGGCGGGGTTAAGGGCGGGGTTATGGCTGGGTATTGAAAGCATTGCATGCTGCTCTGATTGCATCTGCACTGAGCCACTGTGCAACCTTTCCCAAAGAAATGAACGCAACAAGCAAAGTTTTGACCACTGGAGGACCTGTGTTAAAAGCAGTGATGCTTTGAGAGTTTTGCAAATTGATTTCAGGATTTTGAAATTTGTGGCGAAGCGATTGTTAAGAAACGAACAATAAATCTGTTTTGTTTAAATTCACAAACATTATTGACTATATTCACCTGGAAATGGATAAACATATTGATTGTGTAACGGGGGTGTGCTTACACACACATCTAGATTATTATAAGTTCAAGTTCATTTATTTATAGAGCACACACAAACAAGACTGACCAAAGTGCTGTACACAATAAAAATAAGCCCAGAGAAACAAATGAAATGTAAAAATAAAGTAGTAGAAAGGACTATAAATCATATTAAAAAGCCCAGCTAAATAAGTACATTTTAGTGATTTAAATATGGATAGACGTGGAGCTGTTCTAATCTCAAGAAGCAAAGTGTTCCATAACCCCAGACCCGCCACAGAGAAAGCTCTGTACATTTCAGGCTGAACGGAGGAACTAAAGGAAGATTTTGATCACTTGATCTAAGAGATCTTACGGGAGTGTTAAAATGCAGCAGCTCTGAGAGGTAGGTTGGGGCTAGATTGTAAAGGGATTTAAATACAGTAAAAGCACTTTAAAATCAATTCTGAATTGGATGGGCAGCCGATGCAGGCCCCTTAGAAGAGGAGTAATGTGGTCATGTTTCATACTACCATTTGTACGGATGGTATACAGTTTAACCCAAAGAATGACCAGTCAGTCAGATGAAGAAGAGCCGGAGTCAGAGATTTAAATAAATAAATCAAGTTTACTGAAGATAGTATGCCGTTTCATCAGCAGAAGCCAGCTTCAACACTCGCAATGAGTTCCGCTCTGCTTACAATCACAAATCAATAACAATTATACTCTCACATCACGTCATTAACTGCGTCACACATACAGGTGTTCTAACCTGATTGGTTAAAACTCAGATAGACTAGGAACATTTCCACATGGGGTTTGTGCGTATATTCTGAACAATATCTTAAGCAAAAACGCCCGACATTCACTACACTGATTAGACCTGACTCCAGACCTGTGAAACGGATCCACAATCAAATAGAACACACACACTTAAACTACAATCTGTTTCTTCTCCAAGGCTGAGTGTACTCGTAAAAATAGCAAAATCACTTTAGACATTTTAGACAGCATTAACTTATAGAAATAACAACAGAAACAGATGCTTCAGTCCTCAGTTCCACTCAAGATCTCCGTGACCTCTGACCTAGTTTGTTGGCTCCTGAAAAAGTTACACAGACAGGCAAATGCCCTGAACATTCTTACATAAAGCAGTGTGTTTAACTTATTCATTACTTAAAATCATTTCAAAGTTAAATACTCATTCAAGTAATCTAAATTATATTTAATAAAAATAATGAGAAACAGGAGATGCATGGTCACCTGGACACAATAACAGCTACTCAGCGTTGGCACCTTCCAGTGTCCCCAACAGCGCATCTTATTTTAATGCATCACCCCGCTTCCAACATCATATAACATGATTATTCAAACTTCACTTTACCTAGACGAACATTAAAGATCATGACCCGAAATTACTGTATTTAATTCTCCTGCACCATTACCGTAAGTACATTTACAGCCATTACAGTTCAATTATTATTGTCTACTACTGTTTTATCCTAAAATCTTGATTGTTAAATGTACAGCTTATTCTGATATATTATTATTTTTAATTTGTATTATTGTTATTATCTTTTTATTTATTTTTTTATTTATTTTTTATTAATTTTTATTACTACTATTTACAGTGTTTACTATGTTTTTAAATTATATATATGCTATTTTTTATGTAAACTTTATAAATGCTTTGGCAATACATTCGTGACATTTGTCGTGCCAATAAAGCAATAATTGAATTGAACTGAAATGAAACAGAGAGAGCGCGCGAAGAGAAAGTGTGTGTTTGTGTGTGTGTGTGTGTGAGAGAGAGAGGTAGGGAGAGAAAGAGAGAGAGAGAGAGAGAAACAGAGCGAGCGCGCGCAGCACCGGAGAGCAGCGTCTCCTCTCCTCAGAGCACCAGGACTCGCGCACCGGAGAACACCGGATCACCGGAGCGGCTTGGCTGATGATGGAGCGGCGGCGGAGAGCGTCCCTCGCGCTGCTGCTGAATCTGCTGGCTCTGCTCCTCGCCGTGTCCGCGCTCAGCTCCAGCTACTGGTGCGACGGAGAGCGCAAAGTGGTGAAGCCCTTCTGCACCGGCCCGGTGACCGGCAAACAGACGCACTGCATCCGGTACAACAGCTCCAACGCCAACGACAGCCGCCTGGTGCAGTACATCTGGGAGACCGGCGAGGATAAGTTTGTTCTCCGGAAGTTCCACACCGGCATCTGGTTCTCCTGCGAGCAGAACGTCGACCTTGTCGGTGAGAGGGTTTCCTTCACAAGAACTTCATGCGTTGTTGTTGTTGTTGTTGTTGTTGTTTTAACCCAACATTGGGTCAAACATGAACAAACCCCAATTTCGTCAGATTTTTCAATATTTTTTAAGCACTAATGTTATTTAACCAACTGTTGAATTTGTCTGTATTTGACCCAACTTTGGGTTAAAACAACCGAGTATTGCTTTAGATTGTAGCCTAATATTCCAGCAGTCAGTTCACGATGATGTCAAACCAGTTTTCCTAAATAAAGCTGACATGACTGGCAATTTTTGTAAATTCGGATTTCTGCATCAGCTGAAAGTTAATAAGCTCTAAAAGGCGGGGCTGTTTAACCCAACGTAGAGTTTCTAAAAAACGTTGAGTCATTTATTTAACCCAATGGTTGAGTTAAACATATTTGGCGCTTTGTTGGGTTATTTTTAACCTTTATTAGTTTATTTATTAATAACTCAACAGTTGGGTTAAATATGTGGTGCTTTGTTGGGTTATTTTCACCCTTTATTGGGTTATTTATATAATAATGTTGGGTTACAATTTTCAATTTCAACATTCAACTGACTTAACTGACACAGGACAGCTGTATTAATATACTGTTCCTTTTGAGTTATAAAGTTTAAGCTCTAACCCAATAATATTGTTGTTATTTTTTTATCAAATTACCCCTCCGTGTCGTGTTTTTATATCGGTTTCTCCAGCACTGTTATTGATGATACAAACTTTATAGCCGATCTATATTAAAGCACTTTCTCTACATCTCTTTTTTTATTTTTTTGGAGGAGGAAATGATACACAAATTTGCAATATCCGGCCGGATTCCCACCTTTAGGACCCAGCGGAGACATTTATTTATTTACACAGTCATAATTATAAAATGAATTGTAGTAAAAGTATACCGAACTGGAAAAAAATAACATTTAATCAACATAACCCAATGCATTGGGTTAAAATAACCCATAGTCTGGAAGGACCTATAATAACCTATAGTTGGGTTATATGTTGGGGTATTTTTAACCCAGGTATTTTTTCCAGAGTGTGGAGTTTGTATGTTCTCCCCGTGTTGGTGTGGGTTTCCTCCGGGTGCTCCGGTTTCCCCCACAGTCCAAACACATGCGCTATAGGGGAACTGATCAACTACACTGGCCGCAGTGTATGAGTGTGTGTGTGTGTGAATGAGTGTGTATGGGTGTTTCCCAGTAATGGGTTGCAGCTGGAAGGCCATCCGCTATGCAAAACATATGCTGGAACAGTTTGTTTCATTTCGCTGTGGCGAACTCCAAAATAGAGACTAAGCAAAGAGCATAGAATCACCAAGAGGCGACACTCTAGTGCAATAGAACAGCAGCATGTTATAAGTCTGTTAAATAAACTATTAAAAGTGCTGATGATTGTGATAGTAAGTGTTGCACTGTCGTCTTTCAGGTTGTATTTCAGCTTTAATGCACTTTTTAAAAAAATTTAAAAAAAAACAAAGCAGCTGCTCGCCATCATGACAGCAATAAGATCCAAAGGACGGCCAATCGCTTTCACTCCAAAAGGGCGGAATCCAGGGCTGTTGCAATGGAACGTTCTATTGAGTGTCGCCTCTTGGTCATTCTAAGCTCCAAAGGAATGTTTGAAACCTTCGTTGGGTTAAATATTGACAACCCTGAAGTTGGGCTAATTATTTAATTAATTACAATTTGTGGCTTGTTCATGTTTAAACAGCCCAGCACTTTCATTCAGTTTCATTCAGCTTAGTCCATTTATTACTAAGGGGTTGCCACAGCGGAATGAACCGCCAACTATTCCAGCATATGTTTTACACAGCAGATTGCCTTCCAGCTGCAACCCAGTACTGGGAAACACCCATACACTTTTCATCTAAAACTCCACATCTACAGTCCTCTTAGTCTATGCTGACATCATCTTCAGCAGCTCAAACACTCTAATGGCGAATGGACAGACGGCTGCTTCTCACTCAGGCCTGCTGGACATGCTAATGAGATGGGCACTAATGGGCGGGGCTTTCCCCTTCTGATGACACGTACAGCAGGAGAATGTCAATCACAGTGTTCCTGCATCAAGTCTGATTAGAACAAACACAGTTCAGAACTGCTGAGCATTAGAGGCTGCTGGAGATACACACACACACACACACACACACACACACACACTGGGTTTAAACCCTTTATAAAAGTTGTTTCTGTATAAAAGTTGCTCTTTAAATAAGGGAAGCTCAGTATGAGTGTTATTCAGTGTGGTGATGAAGGGAAATGAATCGGTCTGGTGTTGATCTCTGTGTGCTGACAGTGCTTCACTCCTCCATTACAGTGTTAAACTGTGTTTCCTCCGGCAGGTGAGAAGTGCAGGAGCTTCATCACTGTCGCTCCTCCTCACGAGAGAGGTAAGACCTGCAGTTCTGCATCAGTATCTGTGTTTCCATCCAAAGATGCACAGTAGATTTATGTGAAAGTTGTGTCAAACATTAATGAATTAATCAGCGTTTCCATCTGATGAGAAACCAAAGAGAAGAAAATCATCACTTATTCTGGAAATATTTAATTTATTCTCATAATATTTCAACTTTGTTCTGGAAATTTCAACTGTATTCTCTCAGTATTATGACTTTAATCTTGTAACTTTACATTTTTGTTAGTTTTTTTAATGTGGCACTAAAACACACTCATAACAAACATGTTTTATTATATCAAAAACTGTCAAGTTGGTTGGAAATATATCTATTTTTCAGCGTGAACATCTACTAAAGGTTGTGTTTTTAATGATTCTCCTTCATGTGCTGTAGACGGGTGTTACTGATAGATGATTCAGGCTGTAATTATCATTCATCATGAAATAACGACACCATACTGTAATTCAGCTCTTCCTCAGCACCGTGAATGACGGAGAGAGAGAGAAATAATAATCTTTATAGGGTTTTATATCCCTGGAAATGAAATGCATGTATGCATATAATCATTGTGCTGTATTATAGTTGTGGAGCATTATATTGAGGAACCGTGTGCTTATGCATTATGATTTGTACAGTCTGTAGGGGATTAATGTACAGTCGGCTCTTATATGGGTCAGTGACGTAAATATAGTCAAACAGATTTCATACTCATTTATTTCAAATGTAATGTATATTTTTTGATGCAATGCATTAATAAAAACAATATACATTTTTTAATATATCCAACATGCAGGGAAAAAATACAGCATGAAAAATGCACAAAAATTGCATTAAATACTGTTTAAAAATGTCATTGCATTTCATTTTAATTGAAAAGATTTTACACAACGTTGGGTTATAACAGAGTTTTATTAGTGTTAGGATTTTTTTTAAAACCTTTTATGCATTTTCCTTGTTTTTATCACTGCTTGTTGGACTATAAACTTTAATAAAGGTTTATTTTTGATGTAATGCTTCTATGATAAATAAAAGCAATATTTTAATATTTTCTATAATTCTGACATGCAGCAAAAAAAAAACTTGAAAAAATGCAACAAAAATTGCATAAACTTCTTAAATGCACTTAAATACAGTTTTTAAAAATTAAATAAAATTTATAACAGAGCAAAAACTGTGAAATATGGGCTGATAAATGTCTCTCAATAATAACTTGTTTACTGAACTGTAGTGAAATCAATATCACGTTTGTAACCTGAATTTTGAAGGGGAAAACAGCACTCTTATTGTGATATTGATTGACTAATAACTCATATAATAATGCTTTTCTTGCTTAGTTTTTGTCTTGTTTCTAGTCCAAATAAATCATGAAGCACTTTTTAAGCAAGTAAAAAAGACATTGTCTTGCTTTCAAAAAATACTAAGTGAAAAATTCCTTAAAGCAAGCTAAATAATGTTATTTCCAGGCAAAAAGAAGATTATTTAGCTTACCCTATTGGCAGATTACTTATTTTTAATCATTTAATTCATTTAATTTTTACCTTTCATTAATGAAAACAGCACAATACTTTTTGCTTGAAATACTTTTTGTCTAGAAAAACCTTCTTGATTTCAGAGTTTGTAGATATTTGGACTAGAAATGAGACAAAAACTTATTTTTTTTACAGTGAACTGTTAGAAATTGAGCCCACATGATTGTGGGATATCGAAAGATCCATCGATGCTGCTTTCTAAAATCGATCAGATGAAGGTTTCTCAGGAGGCAGAATTCACTAAAGCTAGATTAGGATCCGGACGTGCCTTTAAGCATTTATAACTTGGAAAGCATCCTTAAAAGAGCACATAAAATCAAAACTTGAGCTCACGTCGCTATTTTTACGGTGTGCAATTCATCTGTGCAAGTCATTGAGAAAAACTAAATTTAACTCGAATATGTGTGCATTAAGCAAAACAGAATCATTATTGTACAACAGAAGTATTTAAGATTGAAATAGTGAGCCGTGCAACATGATTTTTGGTGCATTCACAAGCAAACCTTGTTTTTCTCAGGGGTTTTGTGGCTCTGCATTGTGGCCGAGTGTCTGTACATCCTCCTGCTGGCCACTGGAGGGATTCTCATGTCCATCGAGGTCTGCCATATTGGAAACGTCATCGACGGACTCAAACTGAACGCATTTGCAGCGATATTCACTGTGTTATCAGGTAAAGTGTGTGTGTGTGTGTGTGTGTGTGTGTGTGTATGTGTATGTGTGTATGATTGTTATGTGATGGACACTTACAACAGAGTTTAGAATCCAATGGTCAGGCAGGCAACGGGCAACAGAGTCAAACTAATGCATTTAGAGAATCCAGAGTCGAGGTCAAAGAACAGCCAAACGGTCAGTACAGGCAGCAAACAGCGTAAACAAACAGACAAGGCAGAGGTCAAGCAAGGCAAAGCAAGAGAATCACGTCGTAATGTACACTAAACACATTAAGTAGACCTGATGTGTGTGTGTGCTGTTTAAATAGTCCTTGAATCAGTCCATGAATAGCTTCAGCTGTGTGTGTGTGTGTGTTTGCAATCAGTGAAAAACAGGAACCTGTGTGTGTGAGGTGCATGCTGGGAGTTGCAGTTCTTTAATGTGGTGTGTGTGACTGATCAACATGTGCTTGTTGTCTTTCAAATGTCGGTCTCATTTTTCATGAGGAGGTGTTTATATGACATGAAACATTTGGAATCTTGACATGACACATGAATAAGTCTTTATGCATGCTTATAACAACTGTTATTAAGTGTCATTCGCACAGTTATGTCATTTTAAATGCAATGATGACATTGTTTGACAACTTGATATAAACAAATACGCACAAATACAGTCTTTATCTTTTTTGTGACAACATTACCAAGACGTCAAACCTTGTCATAAATCTGTCATAAACATGATTGTCATGATTCAATTATAAATGTGTCTTGAATTTTTTCTGATCACTTTTTCACTGTATTTGTCATTAAATTGTCTCATCTAAAGTGTCCTTACTTTGTCAAATCATTTTAAGGGAGCGTCATTAATATTTAATGATATTTCAATAAAAAATTCAGCTTGTAGCACTGTAGTAGGTCAGAAATATGTGTTGATGACGCTGCTATAAAATTCTTAACACAACTATAATGCCTCATGACAATCATGTTTATGACAGATTATGACAGATGTTTATGACAGACAAGTTGTGATTTCTTGGTAACGTCATGTTGACAATAACAGGTTGTGATGTATTAGTTTATGTCAAGCTGTCATAACAAACATCATCTTTGCATTTAAAATATCATAACTGATCGAAAGACACTTAATAACAGTTATAAGCATGCATAAAATCCTTGTCATATCATGATTGTGATGGTTTCAGGACAGCCTTATGAACACCTCTTCAAGTAAAGTGTTACCCAAATGTCACTGAGCTCATTGAGATTTAAACCTATTAGGTCCACAATGACGACACATTCTGCTTGACCGACTGATTTACAAAAATCAAAAGCAGGTCAAGCAAACGCAATCCGAGTTATCGCAGTGCTTTCAGAAACGCCAGTGTCGGCAGATTCAGATTGGCTATTGTCTTCTGTGCCGAACGCCTTTACGTTTATGCTCTATCACAGATCCCTTTTCCCTCGATACATCTAAAACATCCGGCTCAAAATCCCATTTAAGCCTCGCAGTATTGGTAAGCCAGTACTCTTGAATGTCATCCAGGCTATTTTTGACAGTTTCACAATTTAAGGGCTTATGTCGACATATGCGTCGGAATTCAATCTGCTTAAATCCTGCTCTGCTTATTTATTTATATATATATTTTTAGCAGTGACTCTGCAGGTTGTTGACTATGCAAAAATGATTATTTTTATCTTATAATAAATCTAATTTAGACTGATAGTCTTGCCTTAAAATCAATGTTAATAAAACAATTATGATAATGTTGCATTGAACATTATTAAACAAAGTTAATTCTAACAAAGAGGTTGTTTTTATATATTTTATTATATTAAGTAGCCCTTTATTATGAGATCTCCTTGTTACTATGCTGTAGTAATTACTATTATTATGCATAATTACATGCAACCAACCAAAAACCTAAATCGTAGTCTAACTCTAACCATATAGTAAGTACATGTAATTACATTAGATAAATTAATTGTTACACTGTAACAATGACATATTAAAATAAAGTGTAACATTATTATATTATATTATATTATATTATATTATATTATATTATATTATATTATATTATATTATATTATATTATATTATATTATATTATATTATATTATATTATATACTTTACATGAGGGATAATGTCCCAGAGGTGTATGAAATCTCAAAAGTAGTAAAGCAAAAGAACAACCTAATCAACTTACAGGATAACAGGGTTGTTGAATTAAAATTCAGACAATAAATGACAATAAACTGAAGGCTTAAATTAGTTTTATGTTTTACAAAATGAAAAAAAAAAACATGACATGGGTGAACGTAATCAACCAATGAGTAACCATAGCAACAAAGCAATTAATCAGTAGGAAGCCAAACAAATAGGAAATAAACACTGGAAGTAAACATATCAAAGCACAACGAATATCATAACTGTTATAGATATCGGCTTTTATTATGTTACTATATTACAATTACTCTTATTTTTTTGTACAGTTCAAATTTGCAACTTTTTACACCGCAGTTAATTTTATCAAAATCAAGAAGTCATCAGGTTGAAGTGGATGAAATAGAATCAGCCTGTTATATACTAAACAGCTTTGAAAAAGTAGACTATGCAGGACAATAAACTGAACACAGGCTAAATGAAGAACCAAACAAAGCACAGGTGAACACAATAAACCAATGAAAAACAATAGTAACAAAGCATGCAGTCAGAAAACCAAACATATACAGTAGGAGCTACACACTGGAAGTAAACACAAAGACACAACATATGGGAGCACAAAAAGAGCACAACAATTACAAATATCAGTTTTTTATTGTGTTATGTTGTTAGAACTAGTATGTTATTTCTTGTACTCTTCAAACTTGTCGTATTTGCATCACATTTAATGATATCAAAATCAAAACCTCATCATGTAGAGGTAAATGAAAAATAATCTGCCTTTTAAATACTAAACAACTTTGAAAAGACAATGCAGGACAATGAAACATATTTAGCACCTTAATTACACAGGTTAAACGAAGAACCAAACAAGACACAGGTGAACATAGTACCAAAGCGCACAATCAGAAAACCAAACAAACAGGAACTACACACTGGAAGTAAACAACTTTGTAAAATTAGACATTATAGGACAACAAACTGAAGGCTTAAATATACAGGTTAAATGAAGAACCAAACAAGGCACAGGTGAACACAATAAACCAATGAGTAACAATTAGAACAAAGCCAAAATCAAAAAACCAAACAAACAGGAGCTAAACACTAGAAGTAAACACAGAAAGCACAACATATGGGAGCACAAAAAGTAAATATCAGGTACAAATTCAGTTACATCATTACATACTGTTTGTTTGGATCTCATTTAATAATATAAAAATGATTACCTCCTCGATAAAAACAACAATCCATTTTATATTTGATCTCAAAAAAAGCATAGCAACTACGTAAAACTGGGCATTATAGCACAACACACTGAAACAAACTGAAGGCTTAAATATACAGGTTAACTGTAGAACCAAACAAGGCACAGGTGAACACAATAAACCAATGAGTAACAATAGGAACAAAGCACAAAATCAGAAAACTAAACAAACAGGAGCTACACACTAGAAGTAAACACAGAAAGCACAACATATGGGAGCACAAAAAGAGCACAACAGTTAAAACATCTGCTTATATTTTGTTACGTTATTATGATCAACCTGATATCCTACACTTTGCAGATGTTTACATTACATTTCACAAAATCAACATGAATTCCAGCCACATCATAGAGCGTGCAGTAGACATTTCTGAGTTTAAATAAGGCTTTGACTGACCTTAACATCCGTCAGACTGAGATTGCCGACAGAGCTTTTGTGGTCACGTTAGAGTTTCATTATTGCATAAAGACTGAAGGATGAACTTCTGGCCCGCTGTCATCCCTTTTTTGAGCTTCACTTCTTCATGAGAGAGCGGGATCATGAACGCCATGCATCATGGGAAACGAGCTACAACCTCAATTAGCTCCTGTCTGCATTTGACACATTCACTCCACAGTGCTCGTAGCACTCGCCGCATTGAGATTCAGCGGAGCATTAAATGCACGATGTATAGGGGAAAAGTTGTACGTCTAATTCGCTTCGTCACTTAGTTAATTATGGTTTGTGACCCTTTACTTGGTTTGAGTCATATTTTAGAGCTGTCAGAGAACGTTGAAGTGAACTTTATAACCCTCAGAGCACAAAAGTCAAGTTGTGGAAGAAGTGAAAATGCTGTTGATGATTATTGGTTAGAGACTGCTTTGAGATCTGAGGTTGTTAATTGATTGTACTTTAATTGAACACTTCTGTTTACTTTATTTTAATGCAGACTTGTTTAGAATTCATACAGTAAAATAACAGGACAGGAGAAAAAACATCCAATCTAGCGTTGGCATAGCCTTGGCATCTCTGTTCTTTAGTGTTTATAATCATATCGTATGGTGATTATAGAAACATTTTCATAATGGAGAGTGGTGTTAATCTTTGTGTATGTGCAGTAACACACTGGAAATTGGTAGTTAGAGCTTAAGAAACAACAGTAATGGAGCAGGTTGCTTCATATTTTATTGCTGATTTGATTTGCTGTTATATCTGGTTTCTGAAACCGCCCTTCACCAGACTCCAAACACTCGATGCCATACGAGGTGAGCTACCGAGCAAACTGACCTGGATGGAAAAAACCTCCATGTACATTCGTTTTACACATAAAATGCAGCCAGACATACCATTGCAGGAAACACAGCTGTTTTACATATTGTCAGTTTAGTGGCTAATGCCGAGTTCAGACTGCAGGATTTTCAAAGTACTCATGTCACAGATGTGTTCACACTGTTTAACTATGTGGGCTGGCGTTTTGTCACTGCTTTGTTTACACTGTAAGATGGATCGGCGACAGGGGCTTTCACATTGCATGACTTTACCATAGGAAGAATCGCCGACAACTTCGTCCAAACTACGTCTCACAGCCAAAAACATGTCGTATATCTT